TTTTGCATCATATATATCATACGTGTGACGTCTAATTAATGTAATAGAAATTAATTTTATGTGTACATTGAATAATATGGGCATTAACAAGCATGAGATCTTGACACTTTCCTCAAGAAATTAAGCATGGTAAGTGATTGTTACATTTACTCTTTTCTCAAACAAGGACATGAAAGTGATGAATCAAAATCATTATTTTGTATCGAAGATAATATTCTAACTTGTCATATGAGGTCACCATGAAAATTAGCAAATAAGCATGTCAATTATCTTTAAAATGGATTGGTCTTTAACTTTTACCCCTCATATTTCATGTTTTTACACTTTTCCCTTTAGCGACTTAAGTTCTGCCTAATGGGATATACGTTCTTTAAAAGTTGAAGTCATGCAAGACATAACCGTCCTGCGAAAAAAGATTTTTTTTTAAGCGGGTGATAAGTTAAAAGACCAACAAAAGAACAAGGGCATAAGTGTCAATGACCCAAAAATTAGATGTGTCAAATTGATGAGTTGACTTGATTTAAGTAGGCCAAAATTGGTTTGACCCACCCAAAAGTTACTTGGGTTGAAATAAGATGTACCAAATTGCACAAACTAAGTTTTAGGTTCTTTGTTTGTTCTTTTATATTGTTTAGTATCTAATAAAACTATTTTTTTCTTTATTATAACTAAATATAACATATTAAACTTAAAAAATTGTCTTTTTGAAATATTTGACAAGATTTCTCATGAATTAATTTAAGGTACATATCAACCCAAATTTAAACAAGTTCGACTAAAATAAGCTAGATTATCAACCCACCCAAACTTAATTAAACAGGATGGAGCAGTCATGTCTTCGTGAACTAATTTTGCCACCCATAAAAAAATGTTCATTTTATTCACACCTTTGGTAGAGCAGAGTGGGATCGATTAACTAATAGTCTTGTTTCCATGTGCTTTTTATTCTTCACCAACATTCAATGTGTTTAGTTTAGCCCACAATGGCAAGTAGTCTTGTCACATGATCAAACGGGTCATTACTTCTTTCTTTAAGGGTGTCTTGAAAATATTTTTCAATTTTTTCATATTTGGTTGGTTAAATATTATAGAAAGTATTTTCTTTATAGGAAAACAAGTTCCTTCAAAATGAGAAAAATATATTTCCTGATGCATGAAATTGTACAGATTGCTTCGTCTATTAGATAGTTAATTAGTTAACCAAATGAAATACATCATCTGTTTTAATTATACACATTGACCTTAAGTAGAACAAGCCTCGAGTTTTAAAACTAATTGAGGAAAATGTGTGTAATTAATTGAGATAACATATTTTATGTGGTTAACTCAACAATATGAACGACACCACACACAAAAATCATTTCAAAATTATCTAGTTGAAACACTTTATTAGTAGTTGATTAAATGTTCAATTGGAACAATGCTTAATTTGGTAAATAAAATATTCTCATCCGGTATTCGGTACCTATATTGGTGCGTGACTAAATTCGAAGATAATCGAACTCAAGATCTCTGATTAAGAATGAAGAAATACTTACCACTCCACCACAATCTTTGTTGGTTGAATATTTGATTTAATAATGAATCAAACCAAACGAATCCTAGGTTTTGACTTTGAGCATCTATTGTAAGATCCTAAATATATTAACTAATCAATTCACTTCTCTCGAAGTTGATGATTATAAACAGACATGGGAAGTAATAAGTACTCAAAATCATGGGAATTTAAAATATGAAAAAACAGGCAAAGCATTTAAGAATACACCAACCAATATCAGATGGAACTCATAAAGAAACACAAGTAATTATAATAGTTACCATATTTGGAAAATGTCTGATGTCAAGGCTAAGGATAATGGATGAATTGTAGTCTTGCTCATCATATGCATGCAAGCACGCACTTATATGGGTGGAAAAAGTTATTTAGACGGGGCCGAGCTAGAGTATATCTTACGAGTAAAGCAGGACTTAATAAATTAAGATAAAAAAGTTGTATATGTTTGAAGAAATCTATTAAAATATATATCAATTATTAATTTAGAATTCAGTAACTTAAAAAAACTAGAAATAAAAATTCATAAGGTTCAAATTAATTTTTCCTCCTTGAAATCATAGTATATATTTAAATCTTTAAATCTCTTGTACAATAAAAAGGCCGGTTGGATTCATAGAGTGGATGGAATGTCTTGAGTACTGCTATGGGGATTGGAGAACAAAATTTTGTAGTTGTTGTAACAAAAGTTGAGGAGATTTAATTTATAGCCAATTACAAATGTTACTTTAGTTACAAAGGATCACTTGCAATTTTAAATAGAAGAAGGTGACCTTTTAAAATTCCTTATTATTTTAGATATGGATACTAATGATTTCTTTAACGAAAATGAAACATTCAGCAACAAAAAATAGTTCACGATAACACTCAACCATCCGCTCATCTACAATAACAATATGGTCACCGATGAATTACAGATCTTCCGGCCCACTGAAAATGAGAAAAAAAAGCTTGATGGGGTGAGAGAGGCTCGAACTCTCGACCTCAGGATAACTCAGAAGCTATGAGACCTACGCGCTAGCCAACTGCGCCACCACCCCTTCATGTTATTAATAAATAAAATTATGTACTTAACAGGACCAGGAAGCTATATGCTATTCTGTGAGATGGAGTACTTAATATTTTTTGTTCAACTTTTTAACTACAGATTGCACTATCATTTTAAGTAGACATAATGTTTATGTTGTCTATAATATTCACAATCTATATTATTAAATCCACTTGATGAAAATAGTCAAGTTATATATGCAGCAGCCAGCAACTGAAACTCATCTTATCATTTCGAGGTAAACAAAGTTGTTAAAAGAATTTCATCCTAATGAACAATATTTATATGAGGAAATTACCATATTATATTCACAAAGTTACACAACAGACTAATAGCTAAGATACAATTGAAGCAAGGGATATATATATTATTCATGAAGTCGAGATGAACGCTTAGCAGTTTTTCTATTTACAATGAAAATGAGTTTGAGCTATTAATGTTGCATTAACAGGTAACATAATAAGTATAATCCTTTCATATTTTACGTCTAGTTACTTTTTTTTGGTCTTTGATAGTACTCAACTAATCCTTTTCTTTGGAAGATTACCGCATAGAGATTGCATATAATGTCTACATGTGTGTTGGGAAAGGCAAGCACAAAATAAATGTGCACGACAAGGGAATAGCGGAAGAAAATCCAAGTCAAAACTTTCCCTTCTATTTGAACCAAGAACAAACTGTTTGGGCACCATACAAATCAACCAAGCAAGAAAATAAATCAACACCGAGACACCAAAGTTTAACGTGGAAAACCTCTTCGGTGTGAAAAGTAAAAACCACAAGGCCAAAGCTCCACTAAAATCAACAAGAGTTACAAAAAGTGTTCTCCAAAATGGCCACCAACAAGGTGTCAAACAATGAGCAACACAACTAAAGTAGAGAAATAAAAGAAGCAAAAACACCAAACCCGCAGCTACTGTTCACGAGCAAAAATCTGGAGCTACAAGACCCAAACCACCCTCTCTATGTTCCCAATCAAAGATTAAGTTGAAAAGAACAAGTTGTCCAAAAATCAGCTCAATCGGACAAGAAACGAAGCGGGAATCACTATTTGAAATTGACTGTGGCTTGTGCGAAAATCTGCACTTTCTTACTTTTCTCTCTATCTGGCTGCTCTCAAACTCTTGTGATATCTAAAAAATAAGACCTAAAAGAAAGTCTTACATATGCTCCATAATATTAGGCTTATGGGCAAAAAGTGGGCTAGTCAAATTAGGCTAAATTTATCCACAAAGAAAAGGAAGGAAGATCCAAAACCTTGGACTTTTATTTATCCACATTGGAAGGGAAAAAGTCCCAAAACCCAACAAAATGATTTTACAACCAACAATCTCTCTAGGACCAAACAAAATGAAAATTTTAGCTCAATCTGCTCTAATTAATGTCAAATTGAGCTATTCATTGAGCGATCAGTATGCCATATATGCAACAATTTTATGGTTCAATCAACTGTATAAATGTAGTAACTAATGTGAGAGACAATAGAGTATTTAAAAGGACAAATATGAAATTCTGAAGAAATACAAGTGAAGTTGAATGAAGTTCTTCCTTGTTGGCAAAGTTACGTTGTGGCATCTTACTTGTCCAATAAAGTAGATTTTACCCAAACACTACAAAAGTGCTTCAGAACAGAAATCATCAACTTATCAATTGAAAAGGTACAACACAAAGCCTTCTCAAACAGAAAATTAATGAGAACATCGATGGCAACACTACATCTAGCATTAAAAGTGTGTATACCATGTGAACTTGAGTTATGTTTTACAAAATTCTTTACTTTCTTCTCTTATTTCAATGTGAGAGTCATCTAAAACGTCATATGCACCTCAGTTTACCAACCTGGAAGTCTGTTAGTCCTACTCGACCTGTCCTCCGTCTGAGGTTTCATACATTATTGTTAGTTTTTTCAGTTACCGACCTTTACTCCCACTTGATGATCTATTTAATCAATCAAGTTAAAATGTTCTATATAATGTTACGTTGCGTGTTCCGTTTGGCTGAAAGAAGAATAACAATTGAGACATAAGCTTCAAGAAGGCGCACAATGAAAGTGAGATTAAGCTTTTAATGTTGCATCAACAAGAAACATAATAAGCATGATTCTTCCATTTTCTACGTTTAGTTACTTTTTTGGGCCTTGATAGTACTCAACTAATCTTTTTCTATGGAAGATTACCACACAGAGATTGCACATAATGTGTCTACAGACTACACGGAAGAGGAAGATGATTGTAGAGCGAGCAGCTCAACTTGATATTGTAGTAACCAACATGCTTTCTAGGGAACTGAATGAGCATTTTAGCTCTTCATGCTCTAATTAGTGTCAAACAGAGATATTCATTGTGCAAATATGATATGATCATTATGTCATGTAACTAAGATATATTCAACAGTTTCGTGGTTCAATGAACTGTTTACAAACTTTTTGCACCTTTTTTTCACTAGACCGCAAGAACAAATTTAACGCCAAAAGGAATAGTTTGTAACCTCAACATCAGCTAATATTCTCTACTTTATTTTTATTACAGACAATTTGTAAATGGGATGTGAATCAAGATCCTTCTAAGCCTCACTTCTTTCTCTCCTCCCCAAAGTTGCTCCCCATGTACTAATCAGTGTAGTTCTCTCCTCTGCCCCCTTTGCGGTCAGCAGCAACATCAGGCTTTTTTGTACATTTTCCTTTAAGAGAATTGAGGTTGCCATCCAAATTGTTCAATATGCCTTGAAGAAGCTTGAATTCCTTCGATTCTTCGTCATTTCGATTATAATCATCGATCAATGCGACGACTATAATTGTAGATGTCGATCAAAGTAAAACTACTATTTTAGATTGACAATTGGCTGCTGACATTTCTGAGCAAAGTCGTACAGACTCAATGGATGTTGATACAGGTAATATTGGTCATCAAACAACTATTGAAAACAAAGGTATTTTAGAGATTTCAAATGATCCAGAATTAGCTCGAAGTCCTTAATCTGTAGAGATATTACAACAAAAAAATGTAGATGCTACAGGTGATAGCAATAACCAACATGCTGCTATTAATAAGGTGCAATCAAGAAAATTTAGGCTGAATTTGATATCTAATGCAACAAAAAACGCAAGAGTTGGGGTTGATGCGTCGCGAGTTGATTCAGGACAAAAACTAATTGATACATCTGTAGGATCATTTTTCAAATTGTGCATCTGACTCTTAACTTCCGAAACTTACTGTCCATTACAAACATGGTCCTTGGACTTGGACAGAAAAATCAGGTTTGTTCTGCAAGTCAAAAAAGAGGTGAAACACGCTTATGTTGTCAATGAAAGCAACTGTTTGGAGTTAGAGAAGAGTATAACTCAACTTCAGTAATAAGCTTTATGAATTTATTTCCACAAATGGATGTCAGCTCTTATAACGGAAGATAAGAAAGATAAAAACTACACATTAGTGAAAAATGAAAAGATTTCAGAGCTCGACTCAATGACTGAAATCGGATGTATGATTAAGCACTTAGCAGAAATTGGATCAATGATCTAAGGAAAGTGCTTAATTGATCAAACAGACAACAAGTTGACAGTCATTTCCCTCGGATAGTTTGCTGCTGAATCTTGAGCGCAGAAAGTGAACTAGAGAATGCTTCTTGCTATAAGGTTGGTTCACCATGAATAAGCTTTCTGTCACGGTAAACCTGCTCACATGTAGTTCAGATTACTCTCATTTCTTACCCTCTTCTGCATCTATATATTTGGTTAATTTGATTAGCTGTAAGTGATGCTTCAAATGCAATTTTGGATAAATAAGCACTCTAGATTAAAATGGATTGTCTCGTCAAATCAGGTAATATGATCGATACAATCATTTTGCTAGAAAAAATGATAATAATTAAATCTGAAATATGCAGGTCCAACTAAATGAAATAATGATTTGAATAATTAAATCCATGTACTAATCAGTGTAGTTCTTCTCTCCTCTGCCCCCTTCTGATCAGCAACAACATCAACTTCCACTTTGCCTTTATTCAACTCTTCAGCACTGTTCAACTGCAGTTTATACTCTTTGAATAACTGAAATATGTATATATATATATAGACTTTAGGTTTATCAGTCAGTTAAAACACATGCTACATTGAAGGAGAATGCAGTATAAATAAAGTAGACAATCTCGCAATTTCCTCTACTTATTACTTGTTTCACTTGCATACAACAAACGAAATCCAACTCCAAATTCCATTCAAACTAATTTATTTCAGAATAGTTTCAATTAGATACCCAAATTTCACTTAGTGGAATTGTTATGCTCAAATTTCTGACTGGAACAGAAAATCACCAAACTAGCAATTGATAAAGGTAGAACAAAGCCTTCTCAAACAGAAAATGAGAACATTGATGGCAACATATGAACTATAGAATGTTGCTCTTAGATAGACAAATAAATCAGAAAATCACCAATTACTTATCAATTAGAAAAGGTAGAACAAAGCCTTTCGACGTAGAAAAGCCCTTTCGCACATACATACACACGCAAACAGAAAAGAGAACATCTACGGCATCATATGAACTTTAGAACGCCATAAATTGTTACTCAAACAAATAAATCAGAAAATCACCAACTAATCAAATTAGAACAAAGCTTTTTGACGTAGAAAAACCTCTTTGTACATACACATACACGCAAACAGAAAATGAGAAGATATGAACTTTACAAATCCTTTTAAAACGTAGAAAAGCCTATTCGCACATACGAACACAAGCAAATAGAAAATGTAAGATATACCATCAATTTTCCGCACATCATCTTTCTGAATTTCAGCATCAGTCATTGTCTCCCTATTCTCCTCTGAAACTGATAAACCAAAATAAAATTTGAAATATTTATACTTTGATGCCAATTAGTAATACTAAAATTGATACAAACAAACCATACATATTTTATCTTCATATCGCTCATGTGTATCCTTCATTTTCAGAATCTCGCCCAGGTTCTTCTTCATACTTTCAGCAACACCAAAAACGGTTGGATCAAACTTTGTTGTACATCTGGATTTAAGTAAATTGAGTTTAAATTCTAAATTGTTCAATATCCCTCGAAGAAGTTTGCCTTCCTTCGATTCATCATCATTTCGATGATACTGTTTGGATTTTTTTCTAGACAAATCATCCTGACCGATTTCATCATGATACATTTCTGTGACCAAAAAACAGAGAATCGAAGCAAATCGATGTTAAAAAGGAATCAATTAAACCAAATTGTCTAAACTAAAGATGAATAATACCTGCAATTGTGTTATCCGATCTCTAAAGAAAAAAGCGGAAAGAAATATAACAGAAACTCCGACTAAACTCTCTAGAGAAGTGTGATTTTGGAGGAGAGTAGTTGCAACTGCGGAGAGTTATCAAGGTAATTGTCCGACTACAATTTAGGAATTTTTATTTTATGGGTCTTCTATTTTTTTTTAAATTTAAATTTTATTTATTTATTATTTTCGTATTTAATTTAAAGACAAATTTGATTTATGTAAGTTATACTTTTTATTATTTATGAAAATTACCAAGGTAATTGTTTAACTACAAGAATTTTAATTCTATATTGCAAAAAGATAATGATCTTAAGTTCTTAACCATTACTTGAAATTCCAATTTTTTCTCTATAATCTGCTCAATAACTTGATATATATATATATATATACACGCACATGTGTTTGTTGAATCTATTATTTACAAGTTACTATGTAAGCAAGATTTTCAATCGTGACTTCAATCCAGTATGACAATGGTATTAATATTATGTTAAAACATGTTTTCAATTTTTCTTAAATTACTTGGTGATGTCTAAATTTTTTTAAAATTAGGTTACTTACATTTTATATAATACAAACAATATTCACACAAACATCATTTTTTATACACTTATACACTTATACACTTATACTTGAAAGAAAGATATTGACAGGAAACAATTTATATACATTTGTTGAAACCTGAAAATATATCAATATCATAGATTAGCTTTATTTTTGAACTCCACCGTAGTCATTGAAAATTTGTAGGATTCTGCAAGTTGCAAGGCGTGTTCAATTCTAGTTGGATTCTGCAAGATGTATTCAACTCCATTCAGGATTCTTAGAGGCTACTCATGTAACACCCCAAAAAATTCTAAGTTAAAACTTGAACCATTCTTCATTAGTAATAAGATCGTACAGAGTGATTCTTAATTGTTCTTAGGTGTTAAGGTCAATTCTTTAGGGTGGGAATGATTTTGGAGATGAATTAAGGTCACTAGAATCCCCTAGCACAAAGTTGAGTCGAAAGTTTTCTTACCGATTGAGTTTCAATGTGAGATTTTACTTTAGTCAACTTCAAACGATCATATCTATCAGCACAAAATGAATTAGGTGGTCCATGATATATCTAATTAAATGTTTTTGAGTCCTGAACATATATCAATACTATATAATTGACTAATTTTATTTTTAAACACTTCATATCATACCAAATTAATATAGAAGACCAGTTTTTCTGAAACCACAAATTAAATCAAAATTATATAGCATATTCCAATTATATACGTTTAATATTATATGCAATAGTTATAAGTACTTGAACCATTTGTTTGAGACCACAATACATAAGTTATGTACAAAATTTGGTGCAAAAAGTTTTAAAATGCAAATTGACTGTTAAAACATCAATATCGCAGAAAATAGAAAAAATAATGATTATGGGAAGTAGAAAATAAATTGAGAGACGAATAAGGAAATTAATTATATTGACAGTTACAAATCCTTTAATTATGGAATAAATATATTATCTCTTAATTACGATATTTATTATCTTATATTTCCAAATTATTTTTTTTAGGAAGTTGTTATGTTACCTATTCTCAAAAGGAACATATTTCAGATAGAACATATCTCGAATACGATTATATAGAAGAGAAACATATCTCGGATACGTGTATCTGGAAGATGAACATATCTTAGATATTGGAAGAGGAAGCTCAATATTCAGAGAAACAAATTTGAATTTTTGAAAAGAAAAGTCACTTTGTTGTTGCTCGAAAATAAATGGTAGAAATTAGATTATATTTTTTTTATTTTTTTAGAAGTTGTTAGACTAGATATATTCAAAAATTGTTAAAGAAGTGATTTCCTACTTAAATTAAACATTTTAGTTACAATCTTAATTAAACATATATCATGCTTTTTCAAATATTACTTCTTGTAATATTTGAAATTATTTTGAATACTAGTAATTAGAACCTAAACTAGTGGATTTATGTTGTTTGCCCTTCAATTATATTACCGTTACAAATCTTTTAATTTTAGAATATTATCTCTTACTTAGTATTGATTTATTATCTTATATTTTTCTCTGTTTATTTAATTATTTAGGGATAGGACACAACTCACACAAGAATACCTTATACTATGATCGAAATCACATATACACCTTAATAAAATTAAGATCCTATTATCATTAAATCTATTTTTTAAGTAATTTTATACATTTTTTAACTTACGTGACACAATCCGTAACTTTTTTAGGCGAAAATGAAGTAATTATAATATGCACAGGCTTTAATTTTAGCTTTACAAGCACCAACTGGAATTGAAAGTTGCTTTGCAAAGAATGAGTAAAGATAAGAGAAAAACACAATTGTTTTTTTGAGGTGAAGATTTAATAATTGAAAATGAATTATCAACCCGTCATATCATCATATCATATATTACTAAAAATGGGAAGAATTTAAGTCACAAAATAAATTACGAAAATACCCTTAAGTATTAATTTATTTTCTTAAAATCATTTTTAAAAATTACTTTTTCATTTAATAAATAACACAATAATTTACTTTAAAGTAATTTTTAAAAAAATATATTTATATTTGTGACAATACTAAATGGCTCAATAATTAATACTTCACCTTTTCTGATAAAAAATAATAATAGTATAACCATAGGTTACAATAAAATTTAATATTTACCATAAGAGTAGTAAATGCAGTAAAGAATTATGATAAATGGGGATAGTGAAGAGTCATAGGTTCATTGCATAAGGAGTCATTTTGTTCAAGATAAAGGTATCAATTTTCTAAAACTTTTGAGTCGCTGGTAGTCCGGCTTCAAAGGACTACGTTCTTCAAAAGATTTTTTTTCCCTATTTATTTTTAATATTTTTCAAAAAATGCATGTGTCAATTGCTGCTCTTTTATTTATTTATATTCTGTAATATAAAAATTTATTTGTCTTTATTTTCATTATTCACATAAATTTTGATTATCATAACTTCTAAATTATATTAATAGTCATGTTCATAATATCATTTGATATTTCATATTGTTATCCTATATATAGCGATATTATAAAATTTTATAAAAAGAAATGATCAAATCAATATCTATAGTAAAGCTAGGGATTAACTCGGTGAAGCGAACTCAAATTTTGTTGCAAGTGTGATATGCCATGATTTAGCTAAAATAAAGGTGTAAGTATTGCACAATTTAGTTTGACTTTGCTACTTCTCCACTATTTGTTATGAGGGTGACACATATTCCTAACTTGTAATCATTTATATGAGTTGGTTATTGGCAGAATCTAATGGATGAGATAAATTAACTCATTATCAATTTAAATAATTCTTAAGAGAGGTTAATAAATAAATTCAGTTACATAATTATTTTTTTAAGTCATTACTGGTCTCTTCAATCACCAGTCATTGCGATTCTAACTAAACGGCAGTAGAAGATCTAGGGATGGCAATGGGGCGGGGCGAATGCGGGACAGGTTGAAGTGGATTTTTTTAAAATTAATGTGAGGCGGGACAGGGTGGGTTGCGGGTATATGTGATTTCATGTGAGTTCAAACTTAATTTTAACTTTTAAATGTTATAAGAGTGATAGAGCATTATTTATTAAAATAATTTCTTTAAAACTATTAAAATATTCAAGATAGTAAATGAAAATGGTTCAATAAAAATAATACAATTTCTTACATGTTTCCAATTGACCTCTAAAAAGTAAAATTTTAAGTCACTATCCTATTAAATTAATACAACTTAATGAAAAAAATTCTTTTTATGAATTTTATTTGTATTATCAAACTTAACTAGAAAAAGAAAATATTAAAAAAGTTATGCGGGGCAGGGTGGGTTGAAAATGAAAAAAAATTGTTATACAGGATGGGACGGGACAAATTAAAAATTATGCGAATTAAGCTCAACCCACCCTGCATCGCCCCATTGCCATCCCTAAAAAGACCCTTATTTTTTTGTTAAACATAAGACCCTTGATTTGTCTTGAAATATGTACCATTCAATTGCTCATTTGAATTTGAACAAATGATTTTATAAAACAGAATAACTTTAGCTAAATAATTGTAATGGATAAATGAATGTAGTGTTTGATAAAATATGATAGTACTTATGCGTTGCACGTTTATTTTTATTTTTTATTATAATAAATCATAAAAAGTACTTAAAAAGCTACACAATGTATAAAATTTATGGTCACCAAAGCAAGAAGTATTATCAACCATACAAAGACTCAAATTATAAAATTTGAAGTCTTATTGTGTATAATATTTTTTTATTTGTAGTTATTTATTCGTCGAATAGGAATTATACTAGATGCATATTATACTTGTACATATAACCACATATTTGTTTTCTCATTACACATAATACCTATTTAGCTAAATTTAATTGTTCAATTTCGCAAGTTTAGAGTACAATCTCTAATATTTTGTATGCATTGAACAATCAAGTCATTTGTGTAGACTAATTATTTATCAAATTGAACTTGTACTTCTTTCTTTTGATTTATATACTCATTATACACATGTTTTTAATATTTTCTTATAATTTTAAAAAAAATGTATACAAATTGGGACACCCGTGCAACGTATGTGCCCAAAAACTAGTATTACTATAAGTGGGAACAAAAAAAAAAGTTAAAAGTTGAATTACGGTTTTATCCCTACTATAATCATATCCTATCATATATATTACTATATTATAGAAGAGTCTAGGAATGACTACCAATGTTCCAATAAGATCACTACTAATGTCCAATATATTTATAAAATACATAAGTGGGCCCCACCACCTTCCACTTCAATACTACATATTATATATTAATGGCGGAATGACCTGAAAGACCCCTGTACTTGGCTCCTTTTGTCAGTTGGACCCTCCTACTCATCACTTTGCCAATCAAACCCTTAAACTCATCAAAACACAATATTTTAAAACCCCTCTGACCATTGACCGAGCTTATGTGGCATTAATATTGGTGAGTTGGAAATATGTGTGATTACACGCGCTTAAAAGCGAGTTAAAACAATATTTTACTTTTAAAAAAATCAATCTAACAAAATTTTAAAAAA